AGGTCCAGACACGCTTTGTCAGGGCAATAGCCCCAAACCCCAAGCCACATGTAATTAAGATACATATAGTCACATGGGTAAGCAGGAACCTCCAGGTAACTGCTTACACACTAAGTTACCCGGAGGTTCCCACTTGCCCACGTGACTATATGTATCTAATTTACATGTGACTCGGGGTTCGGGGCTATTGCCCTGACATTCTCCCCCCTTGCGTTGCATTTGCGATGCATACAAGGTTGATAGTGAATAAAACAGAGTTTTAATAGTTGATTTACATTGAGTTTGGAATTATCAATGAGTGTTTTGTTGTCGCCACTTTAAAGTGGGCGATTTTGTACATGTCGGTGAAGAAAAGAGAGGGGGTTTAAGGAATGAATGAGTGTGGGCCGTTACTTTGAAGTGAATGGCGATACATTGGTATCGCAGGGAGAGAAGAGAACAAATGGTGGAGTTTGTCGAAAATGAATTTCGACCCAAAGGTTGTATGTCTTTGGTGTTCCTCACTTGTTCTGTGAGGGTTCATGTGTAAGTGGTGTTTACACACGAGCGGTGGTGGATGTGGGTCTTTTGATGGAGTGGAGATTTCCGCAATTGTTACTTGCGGTTCCTCGCATACAGTATTGTGTGCAGGGCCTCGAGTTGGGGGAAGGTGTTTTCATGGGCACCTCGATGGCGTATTACCGTGTCACTTTCCCTTCTCTCAAGGGTGGATTCATTGCCCCGGAGGAGGGTTTTCCTCTGGGTTGTTCATCTGGACATCCGATTGCTGCGTCGGATGCGATGACATAGCCTGGGCTGCATTGTCGGGCTGTGGGCTCGACAAAGTGGGTGCGTCTCTTTCCCGGTATTTGGAAGCTTTTGCTTCCCATTCCGCAGTTCTTGCAGCACGTTCCTCAGGAGTCCTGAGTGGTTTGAACTGGGACTTTAAGTGGACTGCCTATCCAAACGCATCCATGCGTTCCCCACTGTGACGACCGTGGACTCGGAGGGTATCGCATGGCTCTTCCTAGAGTACATCTGGAGGCACCATGGGCTCCCTGAGGAGATCCTCAGCGATAGAGGGAGTGCCTTCGTCTCCCGCTTCTCAAAGGAGCTCGTGGACCTCCTAGGTGTCAAGCTCACCCCCTCAGCACCCTACCACCCCCAGACAGATGGACAGATGGAGCGGGTCAATCAAGAGATCGAGGCCTACCTCCGGGTGTTTGTCAACCATCGCCAGGATGACTGGGCAGACTGGCTCCCCTTAGCGGAATTCTCTTATAATAACCGCATCCACTCCTCCACCCACCGAACCCCTTTCGAACTCGACACCGGCCAACACCCCAGGATGGGGACAGAACCCACACACACATCCGAGGTGGAAGCCACTGATGCATTCTCATCGAGGATGATGAAAATGCAGGAAGAGGCAAAAGCAGCACTGGAACACGCAGCAGACGAAATGGCCCGCTACTATGACCGAGACCGCGAGACGGCCCCAAAGTATCAAGAAGGTGACCAAGTCTGGCTCAACGCACAAAACTACACAACCAACCACCCGACCAAAAAGTTGGACCACAAATGGCTTGGCCCCTTCAAGATCATCAAAGTTGTCTCCCCGGCTGCCATCAAACTTCAACTCACCGCATGACAGAAAGGAGTCCACCCGGTCGTGTCCATGACAAACGTCAGACCATACCACCTGGACAACATCACAGAACGACCCACTGACCCGGACCCAGACCCGGAGCTTGTAGATGGGGATGAAGAATATGAAGTCGAGAAAGTACTAGACTCTAAGTGGCTACACCGGAACCTCTGGTATCTGGTGAAGTTTGCTGGCTGGCCAAACTCGGAGAACCAATGGCTCCAGTGGGACCACTTGGTCCACGCCCCCAACCGGATCGAGGAGTTCCACAGGATGCACCCCCAGGCCCTGGGAAGAGAGAGGGAGAACCACCTGGCCGCTTCAAGGCAAAGCGGCTTAAGGAGGGGGTGATGTCAGGGCACACCCGCCTCACCCGGCCCCACCCGGCCCCACTTCACCCGGTACCCCGCCACCCAGTCTCCTCCTACCTCCTCCCCCCTTCCTCTTTCTTTCTTTCTCCATTTCACTTCCTCTTCACTTATTTCACTTTCTCTTTATTTTCTCTTTATTCTACACGGACGACCTTTCCCTGTATCAATGTACCATTGACCCACCTGCAGCATGCTCACAACATGCCCAGCCCAGGTGCCTCAGGCGACCCCCCACTATGTCCAGCTCATGCATTCACAGCGGATGCCCTTGGGATCCCCCACAGGGACACCCAGGTGACTACGGCTGTATGCGAGGATGACGTGGCACCCGTCATGTGACCCAAGCTGCATGTATATGTCAGGGCACACTCGCCTGACCCGGTTCCACCTGGGCCCACCCAGGCCCACCTCACCCGCTCACCCGCTCACCCACTCACCCGCTCCCCGCTACCCATCCTTCCTCCTCCCTCCTTCCTCCCTCTTCCCCTTCCTCCCTCTTCCCCTTCCTCCCTCTTCCCCTTCCTCCCTCTTCCCCTTCCTCCCTCTTCCCCTTCCTCCCTCTTCCCCTTCCTCCCTCTTCCCCTTCCTCCCTCTTCCCCTTCCTCCCTCTTCCCCTTCCTCCCTCTTCCCCTTCCTCCCTCTTCCCCTTCCTCCCTCTTCCCCTTCCTCCCTCTTCCCCTTCCTCCCTCTTCCCCTTCCTCCCTCTTCCCCTTCCTCCCTCTTCCCCTTCCTCCTCTTCCCCTTCCTCCCTCTTCCCCTTCCTCCCTCTTCCCCTTCCTCCCTCTTCCCCTTCCTCCCTCTTCCCCTTCCTCCCTCTTCCCTTCCTCCCTCTTCCCTTCCTCCCTCTTCCCCTTCCTCCCTCTTCCCCTTCCTCCCTCTTCCCCTTCCTCCCTCTTCCCCTTCCTCCCTCTTCCCCTTCCTCCCTCTTCCCCTTCCTCCCTCTTCCCCTTCCTCCCTCTTCCCCTTCCTCCCTCTTCCCCTTCCTCCCTCTTCCCCTTCCTCCCTCTTCCCCTTCCTCCCTCTTCCCCTTCCTCCCTCTTCCCCTTCCTCCCTCTTCCCCTTCCTCCCTCTTCCCCTTCCTCCCTCTTCCCCTTCCTCCCCTTCCTCCCTTTTCCCTCTTTTCTCTTTCTCCTTTATTTCATTCTCCCTTTCTGTTTATTCTTTCTATTTACATGGACCACCTTCCCTTGTATCATTGTACTGTTGACCCATCCGGCTCAGACACCCCAGACGACTTCCCGCTACGCCTAGCACGTGCACCCACAGCGGATGCCCTCAGGATCCCCCACAGGGATACCTGGATGGCTGCGGCTCTCTCCGTAGATGACATGGCACCCATCATGTGACCCAAGCCGCATGTACATAAATGTACCTGAAGTGGGAACTGAAGAAGTAACCTTCTTCTCACATTTTCCACTTCAGGTAAGTAGTGTAGTTCTTCCTTTTAATAACAATTCACGTTTTCCACTTCAGTCTAAGTGGCCAGGGACTACAGTCCCAGATTGGGCCCATCAGTATGCGTGCCCGCTTCGTCCCCCGAGAGGGTCCCTCTGCCAGGTGCTACAGCCGGGCCCCCTCCACCCTGGATGCGTCCCTGACAGTATATAAACATACCTGAAGTGGGAACCGAAGAAGTAGCCTTCTTCTCACCCTTTTCCACTTCAGTCTAAGTGGCCAGGGACTGTCTCCTGAGCTGGGCCCGCCAGTACGCATGCCTGCTCCACACCCCGCGAGACTTCTAGTGTCGGGCATCTCACCCGGGCCTCCTCTACCCTGGATGCATCCCTGACAGGTGAGCATCTGGTTAACTCTATGGACGGATTGGTATTCAATACAAGCCCATTCCCCTCGTCGCTGGTACGCTCTTGCGAGCACCAAGTAGCCATCGATCCCACCATGTGTCGTTCAACCTATGATCGACTAACCCCTCCGTCACCGGTACACTCTTACAAGTGCCAAGTACCCGTTGACACGAATACAGACCATTCGCCAAATGAACGGTCTCATACCTCGTTGCCAGTATGCCCATCTGGGTCTGGGCGTCAAGTATCCATCAACCCAGCCTCAAGTAGCTCCCTCAAGGAGCTGGAATCTCACTTGTTGCCAGTATGCCCATCTGGGTGCCAAGTACCCATCAACCAAATCTCAGGAAGCTCCCTCAAGGAGTTGTTATATCACTCGCTACCAGTATGCTCCCTCGAGTGCCAAGTACCCGCTAGCCCTTTGTCCTCGACTGGTCCAGTTCTGGATATCCCCTTTGCCTGTGACCCTATACACCCATGCATGGTACGCTCACATAACGAGCACCAAGTATCCATCGTAGCAGACTCCCATTCACCACGAGGTCTCAGCTTTCCGTCAAAAGCTCCAAGGCTATCGGACAATACTCATTACACAACTAGGCCACCCTACATACACAAGGTCAACGATTCCAAGTCGTCTATAAGGATGGAAAGAAATGGATCACCCATAACCCATTTCTTTAATAATCGGGCTCTAGTGACTAGAAATGGAATCAGAAAAATCAGGAAAAATAAGAAATATGCAGGAGAGAACATTGGTTAAGGGTGGTAGAATCATGGGATTTGGCTTGTTTATGGTACACCAGCAAATCCCTGTTACAATGTGCACAAGTGATTACCCTCCAGATACAAAATATTTGAAAACTAACCAGGCCCTCCACCTGGAACACAACACTGTTTAACTATTTCTAGGCCCTAAGTTATGTAAAGTACACCCTAAAAAAGACCTCCTAGGTCGCCGAATTTTGATATCTCAACTCAATCAAAATGAGATGACAAAAAGGGTGTTGATGCTGGGAATCAACTTTCTTCTCAATCCCAATGCATTTGAAAGTACAATTGAAAAATTAGCTCCCAGCATTTTGGCAGCCGGGGCATACCGGATCCAATTGAATCGGGAATTACCAATTTCCAAAAGAGGGAAGTAAATGCTAACTTGCCCTTTCTCTGCCTCCACCTGCCTCTGTGCCTTACTCCATCATGCCTATAAGCAAAAAATGCAAGCATGCAAATAACCTTGGACACTTCTCCCAGAAAAAGGTTAGAGAAGTCAAATAATTGTGAAGTGGGACCATCTCACCTGTTTTCAGAAATTGCGCACTAGTGTTCCTATTGAAGGATTAGATGGAATGGGCTCAGGTGCCTTTCCAGATCATGGGAGATTCTTGGATGGGACTAGTGGCAGTGTTTCATTTGGTGTTGGCACTGGAGAATGTGGCTCTGTTGACTTGACTGGTAGTCCCGACTCTGATAGCAACTCTGATATAGATGAAATACCAAACCCTGCAATGTCATCCGAAAACACATTTATTCAATATCTTCATGAGTCTCAGACAAAGCTTGGTTACCTGGCCAATGTCCGTGGCAAGATACCTGGCAACAAAGTGATATACCCTGGAAAAACCATAAACAGCACCTGGTCTGAGCGCAGTCTATGCTGGGATAAGGCAAAAGAGAAGGAGGTTCATAAGGGACTCCAGGAGAAGCAAAGGAAGACCACTATTGATGGAAAGAAATGCACAATTATTGATTTTTTTCAACAACAAAATCCCCTGGCATCATTCCCTCCCAATTCCCCAGTACCCACCTGGGCCTGTGGACACCCAGACTGGCAGCAGCCACAGGGTACAACACACCACACTCAGCCCCCTCCTAGCCCAGTGATGATATCATCTCAAAGCTGTTAGAACTGGGCAAGGGCAGACGATTCCGGAGGGGAACTGGAGACTTAGCAAGGAGGGACCTTGGCCTCAGCAACTCATGCGGAGCGCTGTGCCATTGCTGTTTGTCCATTTGGTCCTTAATTTCAGAGGTGGTGAGCAGGAAGTCTCTAGGGGGCATTTCAGGTCAATTTTAGACTGAAGGTCCAAAATGAGTATTGTTACAAAAATGGGGCCAGAAGCACCCATTTTTGTCCATTCTGGTGCAGGAATAGGGAAGGGGGTTGGACATAGGGGTTTACAGGTGGTTTCACAGATGGTTTAACATGTTGTTGAACAGGTAGTGTGGCAGCAGGTTTTTGTTGATTAATGATTGGTTAAACTTAATTACTATACAAATCATGTGATACAGAACCCATAAGAGTCTAAAATGGGAAATTCCCATTCCCATAACAAGTATGTACAAGCACCTGTATATAATAGGGAGACGAAAGCACAAGGAAATCAAAGGGGGTCCAAATCGGAGCAAAGGCATCCAAACGGGAACAAAGGGATGACAGAAGCAGAGCGGTACCAAAGGTCATAGGTCAGAACCTGTGGTACATCTGAAAGGAGATAGGGAGGGTGAAGCCCAGAGGGGCAGGAGGATGAGGTGAAGTGGGGATGATGACTAACTGGCTAGAATGGAGAGAAGCAGCAGTCCAAATAAGGATGAGGGGAAAATGTGAAAGATACATTACAAACAGTGAAAGTGCCGAGTATGATCCATGGAGCTCAGAGGTTACGGAGCTTACAGAGGTTACGGAGGCAGGGTTGAAAGTCCAAGGAATGTTGGCAATGGTGTTTACGTAGTATGAGGTCACCAATGCAATGGACTTAAGTCAAGGTGGCAGTAACTTGCAAAAAGTGTAATGGCAGTTCATGAACCATCATGGAAGTCATGACATTTCATGAATGGTCACCAAACTTCATGAAGCAGCATGAAGTGTCATACACAGTCATGCCAGTTCATGACAAACCATCATGGAATTTCATGAGATGTCATGAACCTGCATGGGGGGTCATGATTGCTCATGACTTAAGTGGTTCCAGGCAGGTTTTGAGTGGTTACATGCCTGTCTATGAAGTGTTATGAAGTGTCATGAGCCTTCATAAAGGATCATGGACCCTCATGGACCTTCATGAATCACTATGAGTCTTCCCAAGAAATGTTGTGATTGATCATAAATTAGGATTGTTGGTACAACAATGACAGTTGGGGGCATAATGGTTAATTACATGTTACCCTTAAGTTGAAAGTGATATGAAAGCATCACACAAGAGGGGGTTGCTCTAGTTGATTTCAGACTAAGGTCCCTGAAAGTATTTACAAGGTATAAATAAGGGAGAGAAATCATGGGAAGGGCCAGTCAGTCCAGAAATGAGTGGGGATTATCAAAGACAAGAACCCAGGTGAAGAATGAATAAGTAAAATATTGACACTTGATCTGCTACTATATTGGCACCCAAGTTGTCAGTTGCCTCCCTACTTTGTCTCTTTGTTTAATTGTTCATTCCACTCTCATTCATTCTCTCACTCTCTGTCTCCCTGGTTCTCATCCCTCATTTAGTTTGTCATGTTCACCACTCTGCCTCCCATTCAGGTGCCAGACTGACCAGCCCCTCTTCTGTTCTCCCTTTCGTATTTATGCATTGTAGATAGTATACTACCTATGTACCCCAGTTTGAATGTCAACTAGAATACCCCCCAAGTCCTCTTGTCCATAGTTGTCAGGGACAGCTCTGAAAGTGGCAAAGTCCCAGCACAGGGGACTCAATGGGACAAGTAGTGGCTATGCATAGCAGTGGTCCTGTTGTGGGGTGAGCATCCCCAACCACTTAGTCTGAAGTGGGAAAGTGAGATGAAGGCTGCTTCTTCTGTTCCCACCCTGGGTGCTGTTATATACATGTGGCTGAGGTCACATGGAAGGAGCCATGTCATCTCTGCACACAGCTGCACCCCTCTGGGTGTCTCTGCAGGAGATCCTGGGGGTGGTCACTGTGTGGGTGGGAATGTGTGCAGTGGGTGTGGTGATAGGGGCAGTGGCATTAGGGTGTAGTGGTACAGGAGGGGTGTGCAGCGTTCCCAGGTATGTGGGCGCACCGGTGGTACATAGCAGTGTTGGCATTGACATGATCAGACCACCAATCAGACCATTTTTGGTCTGATTGTGCTTCTGACAAGGGTCCATTGTCTCAAGGTCCGAAATATGGAAGTAGCCGATTTCCAACCGGATGAGGGATAACCCGAGCCTCATGTGATCACCTTGCAGCTATTTCCGCAAAACTCGTTGCTGACACTGCTGACATTGAACTAGCGAGGTCCTGGCTTTAGCCAACAGACAACTGATGGGACAATTCGGACCATGGGAAAGACGTTGTCTACTGAATCAGACCTTTGGACTTCAGACCATGCAACCATTTGGGACCATGTCTGCCCAACACTGGTACATAGAGAAAGAGGAAGTTGACCATAGAACAGAAATAGAGAGAAAGAGGAAAAAGGAAAGGTGAGGGGGAAGGTGAGATAGGAGGAGCAAGAAGCAATGGCAGGGGAAGTGGAGTAGGGTGGCACGGTGTGGCATGGGGTCAGGCAGGGTATGCCCTGACAATAGTTCACCTCTGACTTCGTCTTCACTTGAGGCTACATTGCCACCAGGTTCCCTCCACTACACCTGAATACAGGATAGCCTAGAGCATGTGGCACAACGCTCCCACTGAGTTGTTGAAACCAACATCCCAACCCCCTGATGCCTTGCAATGGAGTAACCTATCAGCTAAGTGATCACTCACACTGCCATACTCTGCTCCACTTCCCACGAATACCCTCAAGCACTGTTTCTGACACCAAGCAGCAAAGGTGGCTGGAGGAAAAGCGGAGTTCAGTGTGGTGCTGACACAAGTCCATGAGTTGGAGGTTGATCAGTCAGTGCTGTCACAAATAAGGTCTGTCACATGACAGTTCATAAGTGCTTGTGACATCTCATGCATTGACTCATCATACATGTTCACGGAGCATTATGAATGTCCATGATGCATCATGGGACATTATAGCATTTTACATGATGGGGAAAGGTCAAAATAAACATATGACACTCCATGACACTCCATGAACCTTCATGACCTGTCATGAAAGGTCATGAGGGTTCATGAACATCATGACCACTCATGAACCTCCATGAGGCATCATGTCATATTGTGTCACCAGCAGTCATGAACCTTGTCAGCACATGATGGTTCATGATGGTTCATGAAATTTGGTGACAGTTCATGACAATTTGTCATGAACTGTCATGAAATCCAAAATTTTCAATGTAAAAAATGTCTGATTCAATTCAATTGTCATGACATGTCATGAGGAGTCATGAAATTTCGTGACATGTCATGAGGAGTCATGATTTCATGATGCAGGATTACACTTTTGGAGAGTACCTCCAAGGTGGAGTCAAAGTCCAAGGTTGGAACTATGACGGAATCTCGGAGCGAAGGCACAAGCAGTGTCCGGCTATGGGGTATGGGACAGCAGTGGAAGGTTGTAACTTGGTGGAGGTTTGGCAGAAGAGGGTCAGAGGGGGGAAAGAGATGAGAGGAGTGAGGAGTGGAGTGGAGGAATGGTGTCAGGTCCGAAGGGGGTATTGGAACAGATGGAGGTAGGGTAGGAGAGTGATGGAAGGGTGGAGGTGTCGTGAGGAGTAAGAGGAGGAGGGTGGCGAGAGGAGTGATGTTCAGTCTGAGGTGAGTATCGGAGCGGACGGAGATAGGGTAGGAGAAGGATGGAAGGGTGGAGGTGACATGAGGAGTAAGAGTGGTGTCAGGTCTGAAGGTGAATATCGGAACGGACAGCAGTAGGGTAGGACTCCAGAGGGGACGAGGATGAGGGTCTGGGAGTCGGTTTGGGATCGGGTATGTATGGATATGACAAAAGCCATCACCACAGTTTGGAGACTCCAAATCGCATGTGCAGTCCCTCTGAACCCACACCTGAACCCAGGCCAGAAAAGATCCCAACCCCCACTCCTGAACATAACAAGGTCTCCTCCCACTCCCAATCCCACTTTCTACCTCCAAAGAGAGACAATGCTACTGAGGCAGCACAAGATCTCACTCAGACCCTTTGGCCATCACGGGATAAGGGGAGAGGCTACAAGAAAACTCACCTGGATCGAATGGTGGAAGTATGTAAGGAATGGGTGGTGGTTGTCAGGTCAAGTATCTTATTCATTGTTATTCTCGTTACAAATAAGATACAACAAATGTATATAGTTCTTTACCTTCTTCCATGTCCTGTCAATAATATAGCTCTATACTGCTTACATTATCGACAGGCAAAGGACAGCAGGGTCACCAGGGTCAGCACTCCAACTGCCCCTTACAAAGTACGAGCACAGCAAATGCTCCAACTTCTCCAGATCTATGGCTCTGGGGGAAATGGAAGATGTGGAGACCTGGGCTGGGTTCACACATCAACAATTGTCGCAAATGTATGGAATCAGGGAACTTCATATGCATCACACTTGCGGAAATGGTGCCGGACATTCATTCATGAGAGGAAATTGCCACAGAATCCATATGGCCAATGGAATTCCTCAGTCCTTGCCACAGATGAGGATCTCAAAGAGGAACTTGAGACTCACCTCCATGGACTTGGACCATACATCTCAGCAATGGATATTGTGGACTTTCTCATAGATTGGAGATGAAAGAGTGGTTGGAACGTGACAAATCAGTGTCTGTTTGGACAGCTCAACATTGGCTGCATATCATGGGATATCGGTGGCAACAGGAGAAAAGAGGCCAATACTCAGATGGCCATGAGCACGATGATGTTGTCCACTATCAGCAGTCAGTTTTCCTGCCCCAAATGGCTGAGTATGCAAAGTCGATGAGGAAGTGGGATGAGAATGGGGATGAGGAAAGGTTGGATTTTTCTCAAGGCCAGTGGGTGGTTCTCTGGTTTCATGATGAATCCATCTTTTATGCACATGATC